ACTATGTTGTTTAGACTTTTCTTTTCTTTTTTTTAATTTTTATTTATTTATGATAGTCCCCCACACACACACACACACACACAGAGAGAGAGAGAGAGAGAGAGAGAGAGGCAGAGACACAGGCAGAGGGAGAAGCAGGCTCCATGCACCGGGAGCCCGACGTGGGATTCGATCCGGGCTCTCCAGGATCGCGCCCTGGGCCAAAGGCAGGCGCCAAACCGCTGCGCCACCCAGGGATCCCAGTTTAGACTTTTCTTATATGCTTTCTGTTAGTCACTGTCAAGAAGATATGTCATTCATTGATTCTAAACTATTAATCAACAAAATATTTCATTTTAAGTGGTATTCAAACTAAATTGCATTTGCCTCAGCACTTCAAAAATGTTTTACATTGTTTCCTGGTATCTGTTGTCAAGGACAGAAAGTCAGCCATCAATCTAATTGTCATTCCCTTGTAGATACTCTGTCTTTTAATCTTAGAGCTTTAATGTACTCCAGTTTCACTAAGTTGTATCTAAATGTGGAGCATTTTTATTAATTATACTCAGACCTAGGGATCCCCGGGTGGCGCAGCAGTTTGGTGCCTGCCTTTGGCCCAGGGCGTGATCCTGGAGACCCAGGATCAAATCCCACGTCGGGCTCCCGGTGCATGGAGTCTGCTTCTCCCTCTGCCTATGTCTCTGCCTCTCTCTCTCTCTCTCTCTCTCTCTCTCTCTCTCGTGACTATCATAAATAATAAATAAAAAAAATTAAAAAAATACTCAGACCTAGAAATGCTCCTTTAATCTGAAGGCACGTTTCTCATTTGTATTTCAGGAACTCTCTCTGTTCTTATACCTTTGACAGTTGCCCCTCCTCCATTCAGTATTTTTCTGTTTTGGAACTTCTATTCAGATGTCTGTTAGACCGGTTTCCATGTCTTTTAGTATCTTCTTCATATTTTCCATCTCTACCTCTCCACACTATGTTCTTTTTTTTTAAAGATTTTATTCACTTTTTCATGAGAGACACAGAGGGAAAGGCAGAGCAAAGCAGAGACATAGGTAGAGGAAGAAGCAGGCTCCCTTTGGGGAGCCTGATGTGGGACTCGATCCCAGTACCCCAGGATCACAACCTGAGCCAAAGGTGGATGCTCAGCCACTGAGCCACCCAGGCATCCCATCCACACTACATTCTGTGGAATATCCTTTGCCCTCTCTCCCAATTCATTGTTTAACTCCTCAAATATTTCTAATCTATTTAACCCATACATTGAGCCTTTAATTTAAATGACTGTGTTTTTTATTTCTAAAAATTCTGTTTGCTTTTCAAATTTTTGTTTTAAAGAAAGAATGAAATAACAATAAGATTTTTCTGCTCTTATAATATTGATAGTATTTTTAAAAATCCAAACATTTTTAAAGGGAATTTTAAAGTCTCTTCCTGATTCTTTTTCATGATAACATGATTCTTTATGTGGTTTTTAATTTTTTATTGTAATCTCATTTAAGTGAAGACTGATAACTGTGGGAATTTTGGTGTGCTTAGGCTTTGTGCTGAACATTTCCTCTGCTGGGGCCCTATTTCACACAAGTTTTTATGCTAATTTCTCAGTTTGGATTCCTGAACCACACAAATTATATAAATGTAGTTCTTACATACATTTGTGATATAGGTTTGAGTCTCTTATTTTCTACCCAAAGCCTTGGATGGAGGCAAGTAGAGTTTTTCTAACCTTTATTTGACCTAAAGGTCACTACCTTTATGCACTACCTTTATTACTCTTGTTTCTTTGTGTGCATTAAAAACCTAGCCCCAATACCATATTTGTTCCAAATTCCCATTGGGCCACCAATAGCTCCAATAGCATTTATGACATCAGGGAGTTTTTCATTCATTTTCCATTTTTGTGTGTGTATATTTAAAGTTGGAGCACCTGGGTGGTTCAGTTGATTAAGCATCTGCCTTTGGCTCAGGTCATGATCCCAGGGTCCTGGGATTGAGTTCTACATCTGGCTCCCTGCTCAGCGGGAAGTCTGCTTTTCCTTCTTCCCCTCCCCCACTCGTTTCTCTCTCTCTCTCTCTCTCTCTCTCTCTCTCTCTCTCTCATACAATCTTTTTTTTAAAATTTATTGTATTTTGTCTACTATTTTCATGTGTTTGAAGTGGGCAGAGGTTGTTCTATATTAGCTCAGCCCACCATATTGACCGTAAGTATCTTTAAGGTATATTTTCAGGTAAAGATGAGAACATCTTGGAAAAACTACTGTTGTTATTGACTATATGAGTGTTTGCTTCAGTAGTAATGTATATCATTTCACATGCCAAGCTTTGGAAAAAGTGTGGAGATACAGGAGTCTATAGAAAACGGATTTTGGGTAAAGGGATGAGTAAAATGGGTGAGGGGAGTGAGAGGTATGTTTCCAGTTATGAAATGATTAAGTCACAGGAATAAAAGATAAGTGTAAGTAATACAGTCAGTGATATTATAATAGTGGTGTTTGGTGGCAAGATAGTAGCTATACTTGTGGTGAACATAATATAACATATAAACTCATCAAATTACTGTTGTACATCTGAAGTTAATGTAATATTATGTGTCAACTACAATTAAAAAAAGAAAAAAATCAACTTTAGAAAAGGAGGAAAACTCAAGAAATACAAAGTCTTTAAAGTCATTAACAGTTACTCTTTTATAAATGTAAACTTTTGAGTGTTGGAAACTTCAAATCATACTGGAGAGAAGGGTAACTTTATGGCCAGATGCAAACTATGGTAGTTTGCTGCTGCTTTGTAACACCTTCAGATCACAGCATATTGGCAGCCTCCTTCTCTATACCTGTGTACATGGAGTAATAATGCTAATAGTTGGCATTCACTGAGTACTTATTATATGATAAACTGTCCTCTAAGTCCTTATGTTAACTCATTTAGTCCTCATAATAACCCTTCTGGGAGCATTCTGTGATTTTCATTATCTTCCTTATTACAGTTGAGAAAGCTAAAGTAAAAACAGTTAAGTAACCTAATCCAAAATTACGTTTCTGTTAAGTAGCAATACCAGAATTAAAGCAATGCCAGGCAGTCTGGCTACAGAGCTTGTGCTTCTAACCACTGCTATATTGTACAAAATTGTAAGAGAGATGTCAGGGGCAAAGGATCCTGCCATAGTAAAGATAAGAAATTTGGAATAAAATTATAGTGAGTCCTTCTGTAAGCATATATAAACTGTCTAAAGCTACTTGTTCCAAAGATATATTCTAGGTTAGGTTTTTTGGTGCTGTTTTTTTTAAAAAAGATAAACAAGCAAAATAAGGACTAAGAAGGGGGATCTTGGAGGGAAGTTTGTGCTGCCCCTTCATGGTAGAAGGTAAAGCTTGTGTGGAATTTAAGGTTAATGCCCATGGTACCAAGACTGAATGCATCCACAATAAGAGCAAAGCAAAATGGACAATCAGCACCAAAAAATGTTTTCTTTATTCTGACCTTTGGGTAGTGGCTTGGCCAGGGCTCAGGTTCAGACCTTTCGTTTGCTTTTATAGCCATTCAGTGTAAAAAAGAGATAAACTTTATTTTGTCTGTTTGTTTTGCATAGTCATATTTTATAGTTCTGCTCTGATGCATTTCATAAATGACAGCATTGATATAGCTTTTCCACATAGTTGGATGGTTTTATTATGTGCATTTTTCATGTCCCTTGTAGGTGCCAAAGTAAAAATTCAGGGCAATGTACTTTAGAAGGCTTTGAGGACCAACACATTTTTAAATGAACGTGTATTGAGAATGTATTAAAGAATAGATGATATGAGTCAGTCTATCAGTTTTCATTTACTGAGCACCAGCTATATATCCCATGGTGTGGAAACCATTCACAAATACAAAATTTATGCTCCTGCCTATAAGATTTTTTTATTTTGATGGAGAAATACAATGTGTAAAACATTATATATATTATATATATAATATATATATATATATATATATATATGCTATATTATAAACTCCTGAAATTCTAAAGTAATGCTGAGAGAGGAGAAATGAATATGAATTAGATTAGTTAGAAGTTTCATAGGAAATGGGTTTTATATGATAATAAGCAGTACTTATTGAGCTCTTACTTTGTGCTGGCACTGTCCTAAGCACTTTAGATGCGTTACTCTATTCAGGTAAGAAGAGAACAAGTAATATGCTGTAGCCACCCAGCTAGGAAGAGGTAAAGCCAGAATTCACACCCAAGCAGTCTAGTTCCAGAATCCATTCCATGATTACATCTCTCAAAACAAAGAGATGGATGGATCTGGGCAAAGTAAATTGAAGACATCCCAGGCAGGACAGTCAGTACCAACAAGGGCATAGAGAGGGACTTAAATCCCATTTGTAAATTTTTAAGAGAGTAGTGTTTTGTATTTTTAAGATTATGTGTGAGATTTTAATAGTGTGCAGTGATGGTCATAAAACCTTAAAGTGAACTTATTGCATATATATGATCTTTAAATATTATGTACTGAGTTGTTCTTTTTTCACCTACAGGTATGATTATAACAGAAGTCAGTGAGAAATTCTGGTTTTTGAAAAAGATTTTATTTATTTATGTGTGAGAGAGAGAGCACAGAGGGAGAGTGAAAGGGAAAAGCAGACTCCTTGCTGAGCAGAGGGCCTGACTCACAGCTTGATCCCAGGACCCTGGGATCAGTACCTGAGCAGGAGGTAGAAGCTTAACCAACTGAGCCACCCAGGTGCCCCAAGAAATTATGAGTCTTTATATGGTTGCTACTCTTGTATTCTATTTACCAGGAGTTGATCTGCAACATAAATCAAAATATTTAAGTTTACTTGTTCCCCCAAATGCATAACATATATACAGTTAAGTTTAAACAAAACATGAATACATTTTGAACATAAAGTGAAATGAGCATTTTAGCAGCACTTTCTTTGGCACTTTTACTGTACATTTGACAATTGCATATCAGAGAGAAATATCTACTTCTTATAATAAAGTTTTTAATATTTTTATCTGATAGCATCAGGCCATCAGTGCCATTCTACAAGATATAGAAGAAAAACAAGGAAATTTACTAGAATTTGAAATACGAACCCCTGAAGATGCAGGTAAATATGGACCCATACTCAAGTTTGATTATTTCATACATCCAAGGTCATTGCTCCCTTAGCTTCTTAAGGTATATCTTATATCAAAGCTTACTTAACAGTGGCTGAAAAGTAACCTTTTTTTATGTGATAAGAAAGTACCAGGAATGAGCATCAGAAGTCATTTATGCAAACCAGTGGTTAGTGTAATCGTTAATCAAGATATTTCGAGACTTAAGGTATAACATGCATGAGTAATATGAGAGACACTCAGAACCACGGTCAGAGATAAGCTACTACTGGTGATAAGTTTAGATGAAGATGTGGAAAAAAAGCATAAGATAGTGACTAGAGATGAGATTATGTTACTACTTAGCTCCTCAGTTTCACCCAGCTATCGAAACCCTTAAAAACAGATCAGAAAAGGAATAGACCGTTGTGACTCAAGTAAGGCAAATCCTCATGCCTTTCAGATGAGCAGATAGACCCAGTAAATGTCTTAGTGGATAGCTGTCTTCCTTTTTAAAAAAACACTAGTGGTTCAAAATGGTAAACTTGACTTTGATCCCTGACCTAATAATCTGAATTTCTCAAAATGTCAGTGAATATTTGCAAATCTTTGGTAGGTCACAGTTGTGTTTTCTTGAGTTATGATTTACAGATAGAAATTAGCTCCTGAAAGATGCAGATCTGAATGTTAAAGTAGTTAGCTAAAAAATAACTTGAAGAATGTCATCAGTCTTTCATGTAACAGGATACAACTATTAATTCATCTCTTGTCCTAGCTCATACTGTATATAGTCTTTAAAAAATTATTTCCTTTTAAATTATACCCATTCTACCTTTCATCTTGGCCTAACACATGGTACATGTTATGTTTTGAGGAAAATAATACAAAATAATTTATACTATAAAGCAAATGTGAATAATTCATATATTTTATTTAGTATTTACAATATCTTATACACCTAAGGTGAATTTCCAATTTTATAATTTTTTTTATTAAAAGGGTATATATAAATGCGCTTCAAAATATAATAAAGAAGAAAAATGTGCTAAAATTACATCCTGTCTCACCACAATATTTTGTTGTATATATTTCCTTTATTTTTTTCTAAGAATTTAATTACATAGTTATACCTCAATAAAATTATTAAAAACAGAGTTTGGATCATGCTAAACTTGCCAATTTTACATTTTTCCACCATACCCATTATTCTTAGTGGTTTGCATAGTATCCTGTTCTATAAATGTTCCAGGAATTCATTTTTCCCTTTTTGTTGAACATTTACATTTTTCCAATTTTTTGCTAATCTTTAGCATATACCTTTCTGAATTTAGGATTATCTTCTTTGGAAGGATTACCAGAATTGGAACTACTGGGTCAAAAATTTATAAACACTTTAAAACCTGATAATTTGTATTGGTAAATTGTTTTATAAGGTATTAGATAATAATTTACACTTTCAGCAACACACATTAGTGTTTGTTTCCTTTATACTGCTAATAGCATCAGTATTTTCATTTAATTTTAGTAGTGTAATAAGAAAAATGCCTCATATATTCACCTGTCTTTTTGATTATTAGTGGTATTTTTTCTCTAGTTTTATTTCCTGCTTTTGTGAAGTTGTTCCTGTTTGTCTATTAATAAATTGGAGCCATTTTATATGATCAAGCTATTGACCCCTTTCCTGCCATAATCGCTGCAAATATGTTTTTCAGCTTAACTGTCTTTTTATGTGTAATGTGTTAATTTATGCTTAAGTATATATATTTTCAAATTCTGTATAGTAAAATATCAGCCTTTTTCCTTTTAATGCTTTTAAGATGATAAATTTTTCTCCCCTCCCCATCCCTATGCTTTGTAATTTAATTTTATAACCAATACAATGACTAGCAGGATCCCTTTATTTTCGTCTCACTGCCTCTTTAAGGGAGGATAGAAAGGTAAGGCAATGGGACTCTTGAGTTCTTGTTTAGTAACTAAATACTGACTGTTTTTTTTAAGATTTTATTTATTTATTCATGAGAGACACAAAAAGGGAGAAGCAGAGACACAGGCAGAGGGAGAAGCAGGCTCCCCACATGGAGCCTGATGTGGGACTCCATCCTGAACTGGGATCATGCCCGGAGCCAAAGGCAGACGCCCAACCACTGAACCACCCAGGTGTCCCAATACTGACTTGTTACTGACTTCATCAGTCTTTGGCAAATGTCTAAAACTTAGTCTCGGGGGGTCCCTGGGTGGCGCAGCGGTTTGGCGCCTGCCTTTGGCCCAGGGCGCGATCCTGGAGACCCGGGATCGAATCCCACGTCGGGCTCCTGGTGCATGGGGCCTGCTTCTCTCTCTGCCTGTGTCTCTGCCTCTCTCTCTCTCTCTCACTGTGTGCCTATCATAAATTAAGAAATAAAAAAATGAAATGTCATTTAAAAAAATAAATAAATAAAACTTAGTCTCTTCAGAGCAGTTTTCTGAGGCTGTTCTGAGACTTCTACCTGGCTCCTATAGTATAGCAGGGCAGCGTACATTTTCCTTTCCCTGGCTCCTCTCAGTCTCTCTCGCTCTTTTTTTTTATTTTTTAATTTTATTTTTTTAATTTTTTTTTAGGTAATCCACCCTACACAGGCTCTTTCTTTCAGGGAAAAGCCATCATAGTCAGGATCACAGAGCGGCCTCCACACCAAGTCCTCAGAATCCTGGCACTTTGGACCTGTGATTAGAAGGGAGGATAGTTAATTTTGAGTACAGGAGCAACTTTCCCTTTCCCCAACTGTCCGAATGTCTTGCTGGCTCTGCAGGGTCTCAATCTCTACATGTTCAAGAAGGAAGTGGATGTGAGTCCATTGTCACCAAAAAAAGTTATTACTCTCTTCAGAGGCTGCTCCCATTGGGCTTGAGATAAAGGAAAGAAATCTCCTCGCCTTTCACCTTGGCTCCTCAGAATGAGATTCCCATCCACTTGAGCAATAGCTCTCCGAAGTATTTTTACAAATTCACCACCCTGTATTCTGATCTGGCTGAGGGATCTAAGAATAATGAATCCCACTGTGTACATTTCTCTTTGAGTTTTTGTTATAGATGTCTTGCATTCACTTTGATATCAGATATCTTTAGTGCCTCAAATAAACTGACCATAAGAATGTTTAGTCTGAACATTTCATACATTATTTTTTCCTAAGCATTTTAACTCTGTTATTCATTTGAAATCTCTTTTCCACATGTGGTACAAAACAAGGATAGAATAGAGTCTCCCACCCCCCATATTACTACTCTGCCTCTTATTTGTTGAATAATTTCTGTCATCCTCGTTGCTTTTCTAATGCCTTATAATCATATATTAAAATCTTACACATATTAGGGCAATTTCTAGGTTCCAAGATACCACTGATTAATGTATCTGATATGTATATAGTATCAATTTACATGTAAAATTCTTTATGTTCTTTTTTATAGAAAAATATAGAATCTTCTTCATTACTATGCTAATGTTATTTCTACCTCTGATTTAAAATTCAGTTAGAAAAACCCAATGTGACAGGGTACATTGATACTATAAACATCTTTTATTAAATGTCAAATATGCCAAACAGATTTATATCTAAATTCTTTTTTTATTTATTTATTTATTTATTTATTTATTTTTTTTTATAAATTAATTTTTATTGGTGTTCAATTTACCAACATACAGAATAACACCCAGTGCTCATCCCGTCAAGTGTCCCCCTCAGTGCCCGTCACCCATTCACCCCCACCCCCCGCCCTCCTCCCCCTCCACCACCCCTAGTTCATTTCCCAGAGTTAGGAGTCTTTATGTTCTGTCTCCCTTTCTGATATTTCTCACACATTTCTTCTCCCTTCCCTTATATTCCCTTTCGCTATTATTCATATTCCCCAAATGAATGAGAACATACACTGTTTGTCCTTCTCCGTTTACGTATGTTTGTCCTTCTCCGTTTACTGTGGCCAAGTTCAAAAAGGGTGTTGCCTGAGTTCTCCTCTGGGATTTTGATGGAATCTTGTCTCACATTTAGATCTTTCATCTATTTTGAGTTTATCTTTGTGTATGGTGCAAGAGAGTGGTCCAGTTTCATTCTTCTGCATGTGGATGTCCAATTTTCCCAGCACCATTTATTGAAGAGACTGTCTTTCTTCTAGTGGATCGTCTTTCCTCCTTTATCGTATATTAGTTGAGCATAAAGTTCAGGGTCCACTTCTGGGTTCTCTGTTCTGTTCCATTGATCTATATGTCTGTTTTTGTGCCAGTACCACACTGTCTTGATGAACACAGCTTTGTAGTACAACCTGAAATCTGGCATTGTGATGCCCCCAGATATGGTTTTCTTTTTTTAAAATTCCCCTGGCTGTTTGGGGTCTTTTCTGATTCCACACAAATCTTAAAATAATTTGTTCTAAGTCTCTAAAGAAAGTCCATGGTATTTTGATAGGGATTGCATTAAACGTGTAAATTGCCCTGGGTAACATTGACATTTTCACAATATTAATTCTGCCAATCCATGAGCATGGAATATTTTTCCATCTCTTTGTGTCTTCCTCAATTTCTTTCAGAAGTGTTCTGTAGTTTTATATCTAAATTCTTAATGATCAAGTTTCCCCCCTTTGTTGTCACATGCATCATACAGAATTAATCCTTAGTCATAGTACTAATAAGACAGAAACTACTCTGGGAACACTGACTCTATACTGACCAAATCATTTATATCATTTGTCTAATTTGCAAAGCGGGGTTCTGGAACAAATTCCTACTCTGAACTTCAGTCATTTCCCACCACTGATTTTCTAGTTAAATTATCTAGAAATTATCTAGTAAATTATCTAGAAAAATATGCATTGGTCTAAAATCTAGTTAAATTATCTAGAAAAATATGCATTGGCCTAAAATTATTAGGAAAAAACTTAAGAAACAAAGCCAAAAGTGAAATAACAAATAGCTTAACAGAAATTAAATGTATTAAATGTATTCATTTAAGCATTTCCATTTACTACCTGAGAATTGGATTCTGATGTAATTGACATTTATGTGTAAATCTTGTGGATTTGTGATCGGTGAAGGAAGTCATTATGCCTTTACTTAGGAAGAAGAGGAAGAAAGTAGGAAAATTTTAAGTAATTATTGTAAAAGTAATTTTATATAGATCTTTAAGTAACCTGAGATATCATACAGCTCTATATAAGTGTTAAGTGTAAAGGACAAGAACTGATAACATGCTTTTTATTTCTAACTACATATATAGTTACATATGGTAAACACATCTAGAATAATACACTTAGGGAAGCCCGGGTGGCTCAGTGGTATAGCGCTGCCTTCTGTCTAGGGTGTCATCCTGGAGACCCGGGATCGAGTCCTGCATCTGGCTCCCTGCATGTAGCCTGCTTCTTCTCCCTCTGCCTGTGTCTCTGCCTCTTTCTCTCTGTGTCTCTCATGAATAAATAAATTTAAAAAAAGAATAATACACTTAACAAATACATCTAATATAGTTTAATGAATAATTAACTATTAATTTTATTTTAATTATTTTTTTATTAAAATTAAATTATTAAATTTATGAATTAATAAAAATTTAATAATGAATATAGCATACATACACATATAGTTACATATACTATAAATATGCATTGAATAATCCATTAGATAAATATACTAAAAACTTTTACACACACCAACAAATACACTGCTACCAAAGTATAAACAGTAGTCTCTTGTGAAATGAAAAAGAGGAGTAACAGAAGGTGAGAGTAGGATACTTTCTTTTTACTTTTCTTCTATGTAAACATTCATATTGTTTGAAATGTTTATACAGTGTGTGCCCTTTATATTTTAAAAAGTAAATAATTTTAACAAAATATTTATTTTCCTATTTATCTTCCTTTCCTAACCTCATTTCACAGATGAGGAAGGTGACTATAAAGGTCATGTGACTTGTCCAGGTTCACAGAGCTAAGTGGAGTAGCAGGATTAGAACTCAGGCTAACCTGCTCTATTCAGAGTACTTCCATAGGGTGGCATAATTCAGTGAGTTTTGATTTATATATCTGGACCACTAATAGTAGGGAACAGGGTAAGGAAATAATGGCATTTTATTTTATTTTTAAATTATTTTTTTAGGGATCCCTGGGTGGCACAGCGGTTTAGCGCCTGCCTTTGGCCCAGGGCGCGATCCTGGAGACCCAGGATCGAATCCCACATTGGGCTCCCAGTGCATGGAGCCTGCTTCTCCCTCTGCCTGTGTCTCTGCCCCTCTCTCTCTCTCTCTCTCTCTCTCTCTCTGTGTGTGTGTGTGTGTGTGACTATCATAAATAAATAAAAATTTAAAAAAATAAATTATTTTTTTAATAATGGCTTTTTAAAATTAATAGGCTGAGTTTTGTGTGATCAAACTTAACATTTGATGTCTTTCTTCTATCATTAACTGACTTTTTATTACCATGTTTCCAGAACAATGCATTGAAAAGATGTTAGAGATAAAAGAGATTATGGATTATGTGCTTGCCAAACAGAAGGCAGAAAGGGATGATCTGGCTAAAAAATACAGGTGAGTGAAAAAATAGAAATGCTTTAGAGTTTTCATAATATTTCCCTTCTTAGTTATAATAGTGAGAATCTAGAATTTCTTAAGAGTGTGAATGTTGCATAGGACCAAAGAATGACTTTATGAGGTCATCTAATCTATTACCTCCATGGGGAATTGTACTTTTCAGAAAGATATTTTTATATTTTATTACTTGAAATATTCAGAAAAAGACGTATCTTAAAAAGTTGTCTACAGCAAAGAATTTTGTGAAAGTGTCTCTGGTCATGAATCTCCAAAATAAATTTCTTTCCATGGTGAACTTAAATGTTTTACAGTACAAAGTTTTCCTTTTGCTATCACAAATGTTGTCTTTCTAAGCATTATAACCATGTATATTATTTAGTTTTGTGTATTTCTAAACCCTCAATGTTTTTAAGAGATTTCATCCTGATTATATATTGGTTATATACCTCTTTTTGTCCTTTTCTTGAGAAAAATGTTATATTTTTTTTCTTATGTGGGCATTATTTTTATTAGTTTTTCATAGATTTAACTATATATGCCGTTTTTTCTCATAATGAGAACTTTAAGATTTACTCTCTTAGCAACTTTCAAATATACAATAAAGTATCATTAACTATAGTCACCATGCTGTACATTATATCCTCATGACTTCTCTATTTTATTACTGAATACTTGTACCTTTTGACTCCCTTTATCCATTTCATCCACCCTCCACCTTCCACCTCTGGCAACTACCAATCTGCTCTCTATATCTATGAGTTCAGTTTTTTGAAGTTTTTTAGATTTCACATATAAGTGAGACCATACAGTATTTGTTTTTCTCTGTCTGACTTATTTTCACCTAATATAATACTCTCAAGGTCTGTGCATGCTGTCAAAACTGGCAGGATTTCTTTCTTTTTCATGGCTGAATAATATTCTTCTGTGTGTGTGCACTTGTGCACATAAACCACATTTTCTTTTTTTAATTTATTTTTTATTGGTGTTCAATTTGTCAACATATAGAATAACACCCAGTGCTCATCCCGTCAAGTGCCCACATCAGTGCCCATCACCCAGTCACCCCCACCCCTGCCCACCTCCCCTTCCACCACCCCTAGTTCATTTCCCAGAGTTAGGAGTCTTTCATGTTCTGTCTCCCTTTCTGATATTTCCCACTCATTTTTCCTCCTTTCCCCTTTATTCCCTTTCACTATTTTTTATATTCCCCAAATGAATGAGACCATATAATGTTTGTCCTTCTTCGATTGACTTACTTCACTCACCATAATACCCTCCAGTTCCATCCACATTGAAGCAAATGATGGGTTTTTGTCGTTTCTAATGGCTGAGTAATATTCCATTGTATACATAAACCACATCTTCTTTATCCATTCATCTTTCGATGGACTCCGAGGCTCCTTCCACAGTTAGGCTATTTAAACCACATTTTCTATATTCATCCTTTGATGGACATTTAGGTTGTTTTTATGTCTCAGCTATTGTTAATAATGCTGCAGTGAGTATGGGGTTGCAGATATCTTTTTGACCTTATTCTTTATTCACATGTGATCTTTCTAGTTTCTTTTATATTCTTATGAGCACTTGACATCTATTGTACATTCAGTTTTTTTTCCTGAATTTATTTAAAAATCAGTTTTCTATTTTCATTTATAAGTCTTCTGTGTTCATTTTGCTTTTTCTCTCCATTGAATAAGTATTACAAATTCATTTCTATTTCCTGTTTTCCTGTCAGTATAATGCAAGTGAGCTTGTAGGACCTACAGGTGGGTAACTGACTGCAGGATATATTCTAGGAGACTTTGGAGAAGGCTAGCTTCAATTTTCCTTTATGTCCTATGATTAACAATATACCGTGGATTTTGGAAAGTTACTGATCAGTTGGGTTTGCAGGTGTGTAAATCTATTCATATTGCTATAAGATTTAAAATCATGTAATCTAAAATGAACTTTTATTTTTCTGTCTGAACTCTGTTTTAAATGCAATATTACTATTTTTTCTCCTTTTATGCTACTAGTTGTTTGTTAATCTAATTTCTTCTTGCTGTTTCTTCCATTTTCATCTGCTACTCACTTTAACATCTGTTTTGCTTGGAGTTCAGTACCAACAACTCTAAACTATGATAGAGAGACAGATATCTATACTATTGCTGTCCCATAAAGCAGCTGCTTGAGGATGACCCTTGAGGGTCCCTGAGATGATTTCAAGGGGTGTGTGAAGTCAAAACTATTTTTATAAGAAAACTAAGATATTATTTGCCTTTTTGCCTCACATTCTAATGAGTGTGTAATGGAATTTTCCAGAGGCCACATGAAGTGTGATATCATTATTCTAATAGGTAATGGAAAGCATGCTTGAATGTTCTTGTTTTAAAAATTTCTGTTTTATTTTCTAAAACAGTAAATATTGATAGATATATCCATATGAACAAAAGCCCTTTGGGTTCCTCAGTAATTTTTAAAGGTATTAAAAAAGTCCTAAAACCAAAAAGTTTGAGAACTACTAGAAACAAAGAGTTTAGTGTCCTGAAGGTCACTGTAGAATAACCGAAAGAAAAAGGTATGTAGATTAGCCATTTTCTCTCAAATGCAAGCCCCTTATAGTCACACAGGTTAATGCCTATCTGGGTAGTCCCTCTGGACCTGAAAGTGATTCAGTACAGATTCAAAGCATAATTACAGTAATTACTTGATGGACTGACATTGCTCAGGTCTAGCTCAGGTATAATTATTCACAAAATAGTCTCACTCCTTCAGCTCTATGGGAACTTAAATGGAACTTATTCCCAAATGTTACTTCCTGACACACCTTTCCACTATGAACAGGTAAGCAACCTCCAAATCTAAAGAATAGTATTCCTCCTTGATCATCAGTTGCTACTTATCCCAAATTTTGTTTCTTTTTCAGAGTTGACTCACAACTGGTAAATAATATAAATGTGGAAAACCACACCATCACCTCCATAAAAAGGCAGTCTTACTCGTAACCTTAAGAGTCATTTTCCTCTCAGAAGAAATTCATTGCAAAAATAGACCCTTGTGTACTTTGGGCTGATTAAATTAAGACAAGTATCTTTAAAATCTAAATGACTACTAAAAATTTTTTCTCCGGTTTTCATATTGTTTTCTCTGTTTCTTTCTGTAGGGTGTCCATAGAATCATTTAAGCAAGGAGTCCTGAGAGAACAGCTGGCTAACTTGGCCACAAGACAGAAGAGCCTTTTAGTTGTGGCAAAAAAACAGAAAAAAATTACCCAGAAAATCCAAAACTATAAAAACATTACATCTTTGTCTGGTCCTAGTTTGAGGAAGCCACCGTCCAGCTCAGCAATCTCTAGTGAAAAGGACAGCCAAGATCTTATCAGTCTGGAAAATTCATTGCAGCCCCAGTCAGGTTCACTTTCTCTTGTCAGCCTTACTTGTGGAAGCATGCAGGAAACACCATTGTCTCCAGAAACTTGGAATAGCAGCCCAAATACCAACACTTGTGTAAATTCAGAAACAGTGAGAAGGGAATTTTCTGGAAATGAGCTGAATTCTAAGCAAAATGTCAATGATGGTACCTTCGATGGGTCACCAAAATCCAGACGTGCAGATGGCACTAAGATTAAATTACCCTCCCAACCTGTTGCTCTTACTGCTCAGAGGGAGTATTCACAGAGAGGAAATGATCTCACAGAGCCTCCAGCCCCAGAGTGCGAGCCCTGTAATCATCCTTCTGCAGTAACTAACACATTAAACATTGCAGCGACTACAAGCATACTTGCCAGAAATGATGCCCATCCATCAGCTGTTGTTTGTGATCAGGCTCCTACCAGTTGTGATCCAAAAAGAGGAAAGAGGAAAATAGCTTCCCAGCAGCCAAGTAGGGGGACATTGGAATCTCTGACACATCAAGGGACTGATGTCTTAGGCAGTATTACTGGGCATCAGACAAAATCTTATCCTAAAAAAACAGCTTTTACTGTTCGACGTGCTAATGACAGCCACAGCTCCTCCCACTCTGAACGTGGCCGTCAACATATTATTAAAAAGCCTGTAAACTCCAGCACAGCTCCTAGAAAGAAATGTATGCAGATAAAGGATCTGATATTACTCGGAAGAATTAATCCAGGAAAAAACATTCTAGAATTCAAAACACAGGTATCCTATTTTTTTCTCTAAAATCATGTAATTGGGGATCCCTGGGTGGCTTAGTGGTTTGGTGCCTGCCTTTGGCCCAGGGTGCAGTCCTGGAGTCCTGGGATCGAGACCTGCATTGGGCTCCCGGCATGAAGCCTGCTTCTCCCTCTACCTGTCTCTCTCTCTCTCTTTCTATCATAAAATAAATAAATAAATCTTAAAAAAATCTTTACAAAAAATAAATAAAATCATGTAATTTTATAATTAAGTTAATAAATGTTACTGTCACGAAGTGTAGGCATTTAGCTCAGATTCAGGAAATAAGGTTTGACTGGGCTTCTTGAATGAGGAGACATACCATAGTGTTCTCAGTGAGTGAAATGCTTTTAGGATGGTTCTATATGTTTTGGTCCCAAGCACCTGTGGGATCCAACTCTGGATCAGCTATAATAAAATTTTAACATAACTTTTCATATTTCTGCTATTTCTTAACAGCTTTATTGAGGTATTATTAACACACACTACACGTATTTATATTATGCAATTTGACAGATTTTGACCTATAAGTTTACATCTGTGAAACCATGACCACAGACAAGGTCATGAACATATCCATCACCTCCAAAAGTCTCTTTTTGCCCTTTTGTATACCTGCTTCCTATCCCCTTCTTCCCATGTTGAGCCTATAGACAATTACTGTTCTGCCCTCTGTCCCTATACTTTAGTTTGCACTTCAGAGAATTCTATAAAAGTAGAATTACACCATATGTGTTCATTTTTGTCTGGCTTCTTTCTCTGAACATAATTGAGAGTCATTGTCATTAGAGCATGTATCAGTAGTTAATTCCTTTTTTTATTGTTCTGTAGTATGTAGAACAAACTACAGTTTTTCATTTCATCTGTGACAGACATTTACGTTGATTCCAGTTGTTGACTATCACATATAAAGCTCCTGTGAATATTGGTATACAAATTTTGGCTCACACAGGCTTTTGCTTTTCTTGGGTGAATACCTAGGAGTGGAGTGGCTAGATTATATATGATAAGTATATATTTGACTTTTTAAGAAACTGCCAAGTTGTTTGTAACATTTTCCATTCCACCAGCTGTGTATGAGTATTCTAGTTCCTCCACATTCTTACTTAATGTAACACCTAGTATGATCAATCTGTTAATTTTAGCTATATACTAACATGTAATGTAGATGTATGGATGTCATACGTATATATGTATAGTAGTTTATCATTGTGGTTTTAATTTGCATTTCAAAATGATTAGCATCTTTTCATGTGCTATTTTCCAGCCATACTTATTCTTTGGTGAAACTTATTTTCAAATATTTGCCCAAGTTTTTAATTGGTTGCTTGTTTCCTTGTTCTGGTATTTGTTTTGATATATTTTGGATATAAGCCCTCTATCAAACATATACTTAGCAAATATTTTCTCTTAGTCTATGGCTTGTCTTTTCATTCTCTCAAAATTGTCTTATAAAAGAACAGAAGTTTGGAGCTCCTGGGTGGTTCAGTTGGTTAGTCATCTGCCTTCAGTTCAGGTCATGATCTCAGGGTCCTGGGATTGAGTACTGCATTGGGCTCTCTGCTCAGTGGGGAGTTTGCTTCTCCCTCTCACTCTCCCTCTGTGCTCACGAGCTCTCTCTCAAATAAATAAATAAAATCTTAAAAAATAAAAAAAACACAAGTTTAATATTTTGATATAGTCCAACTTAGCAACTTGCTCTTTCACTGATTATGTTCTTAGAACCATATCTAAGAATTCTTTGTCTAACCCAAGGACACAAAGATTTTCTCTTAGAATTTAGGCCTATGATCCATTAATTTTTGTATGTGGTACAAAGTAGCATATTTTTGAATTTGGATATTCAGTTCTTCCGACAACATATGTTGAAAAAATTACCCTTTATTGAATTGTCTTTGCATCTTTGTAGAAAATCCTTTGTTTTATATATGTGCCTATTTCTGGACTTCTATATAATATATCTATATACCTGTCTTACCATGAATACCATCTTGATTGTGGAGCTCTATAATAAGTGTTACAATCAGGTAGTGTTGGGGCATCAGGGTGGCTCAGTAGGTTAAGCAGCTGACGCTTGGTTTCAGATCAGGTCATGATCTCAGAGTTGTGAAATCAAGCCCCATGTCAGGCTCCATGCTCAGCACACAGTCAGCTTGTCCCCCTGCCTCCCCCTCTGGCCCTCTCCCCACTCATGCAGGTGCACTTTTCTCAAATATATAAAAATATTTATATAATTTTATATATTTTTTTAAAAATCAGGTATTATTGGTCCTCCAATTTTGTTCTCCATTTTCTAGAGTGTTTCAGATATTCTAGGTCATTTGCAATTTCATATGAATTTTAGAGTGAGTTTTTTCACTTTCTTTTTTTTTAAGGGGTACTATTATTTTTATTGGTATTGAGTTGAATTTATAGATTAATTTTGGGGCAAAGGACGTCTTAGCAATATTGAGTTGTCTAAACCTGAACATGATATAGCTCTCAGTTAATTGAGGTCTTCTTTTTTTTCCTAGAAGTTATAGGAGTCAGTATACAGGTCTTCGACATCTTTTATAAGATTTATTGCTAAGTATTTCATGTTTTTGATAGTATTATATATGATATTTTTTAAATGTCAGTTTTTGGTTGTTTTTTGCTAATAGGAATACACTTTTTTTTTGTATATTGAGATGTTATCATGCAACCTTGCTAAACTCACTTCCTACTTCCTATAAATTTTTGGAGATTTCATTGGACTTTCTATATAGATGATCATGTTGTCTATAAAAAAGACAGTTTTACTTCTTTCTTTCCATTGTGAATGTTTTTTATTTCTTTTTTTTTTTCTGGCCACACTGGCTAAAACCTCCAGCACAGTGTTGAAATAAAATGGTATTATCAAACTTCTGTTTTTTTTCCCCTCAGATAAGATTATGTTTTGAGGAGGAAAAAATTTAGTCTTTCACTTTTAAATCTAATGTTGGCTGTAGTTTTTTTCATAGATACCCTTTATCAGGCTGAGCAAGTTCTTTCTTTTCCTACTTTCTTAAATGTTTTTATCATGGAAGGGCATTACATTTTGTCGAATGTTCTTTCCACATCTATTGAGATGATATGTGGGTTTTGGTTTGCATTCTATTGTTATGATATATAACATTAATTGATCTTTGGATATTAAACCAACCTTGCACTCCTGAGAAAGCAGACAGATTACATTTGGTCATGGTATATAATTCTTTTTATAAGTTGCTGGATTTGGTTTTCTAGTATGTTGTTGAGGATTATTGCATCCATATTTACGGAAGATATTGGTCTGTAGATTTCTTGTATTTGTCTGGATTGGTATTAAGTTAATACTAGTCTCACAAAAGTGTTTCTCCTTTTCTATTTTTTGGAATATTGGTAATGCAAAATATTAGTATTCAGTCTTTAAATGTTTGATAGTAGTCACCAACGAACCATCTGTACCTGAGATTGTTTTTTTTTTAGATAGTTTTTTGAGTATTAATTCAATCTCTTTACTTAAAGGTATTTTCAAACTGTTTCTTCTTGAATTTTTTTTTTGGTAATTTTTATCTTTCTAGGAATTTATTTATTGGTATAGCATTCTTGACAGTTTTTCTTATAATCCTTTTTATTTCATTAGGTTCAGTAACAGGGTACCCATTTCATTGCTGATCTTAGTAATTTGAGTCTCCTTAGTTGTTTTTCTTAGTCAGTCTAGGTAAAGCTTCGTCACTTTTGTTGCTATTTTCAAAGAACCACTTTTGATTTTATTGATTTTATCTATTGTTTTTTCTATTGCCTGTTTTATTTATTTCCACTCTAATATTTATTTCCCTCCTTTTGCTTGCTTTGAGTTTAGTTTGCTGTTTTTTTCCAGTGTCATCAGTGTAAGTTTAGGTTAATTACTTGAGGTATTTCTTCCTTTTCAATACAGGCATTCATGGCTGTAAATTTCCATTTAACCCACTGCTTTCATTGCATCTCATAATTTTTGGTATGTTGTATCTTAATTTTCATTCATCTCAACGTATTTTTTAATTTGCGTTTTGTTTACATCTTTAACCCATTAGTTATTTGGAGTATTTGATTTGGAGTCATTTGATTTGATTTGGAGTCATTTGATTTCTGTATAACTGTGAGTGTTCCAAATTTTTGTTACTAATTTCTAATTTCATTCTGTTGTATTTAGAGAACATAGTATTATTTCAATCGTTCTAAATTTTCTGAGATTTATTTTGTGGCTTAACTAGTATATGGCCCATCCTAAAAATATATACCATGAACACTTGAGAAAAATTATTATGTTGTTTGGAGTTTTTTTTAACAGATTTTATGTATTTGTTAGAGAGAGAGAGAGAGAAAGCATAAGCCAGGAAAAAGGCAGAGGGAGAGGGAGAAGCAGACTCCTTGCTGAGCAGGGAGCCTGATATAAGGCTTGATCCCAGATCCCTGGGATGATGACTTAACCCAAAGGCAGATGCTTAACTGACTCAGCCAACCAGACTCCCCTAGAAGAAGTTTTTTATAGATGCTTGTTGGGTTTAGTTGGTTTGTAGTGTTGCTCAATTTTTCCTTTCCTCATTGATCTTCTGCTGTTTGTTCTATACATAATTGTTTTTTTAATAAATTAATTTTTATTGGTGTTCAATTTACCAACATACAGAATAACACCCAGTGCTCATCCTCAGTGCCCGACACCCATTCACCCCCACCCCCCGCCCTCCTCCCTTCCACCACCCCTAGTTCGTTTCCTAGAGTTAGGAGTCTTTATGTTCTGTCTCCCTTTCTGATACTTCCCACACATTTCTTCTCCCTTCCCTTATATTCCCTTTCACTATTATTCATATTCCCCAAATGAATGAGAACATACACTGTTTGTCCTTCTCCGATTGACTTACTTCACTCAGCATAATAACCTCCAGTTCCATCCACGTTGAAGCAAATGGTGGGTATTGGTCATTTCTAATGGCTGAGTAATATTCCATTGTATACATAGACCA